GCTCAATCAACCATCGCTGGACACTCGGCCGAGGCCGCCGACATGCGCGTAACTTTAAACCCCGGATAAAAATAGCTCGGATTCGAGCGTGATCGGCAGTCATTTCCTATTTGCTTAAAAAACACCGTGGAGGAGGGAGAAAAAAAAAAGAAGAAGAAAAAATACGTGAAGAGCAGCTTTGTGCGGAGCCGCGCACCCGCACAAAAACATCAACAGAAGTTTCCTTTGATAACGCACCCGCACGGCCCGGCCGCTCTGGCTCTCCCCTCCCTCCTTCTTCCTCCCCCCGCCGGCTTTAGAGAAAAAAATAAAACCGCAAAATCCAAGTTTGTTTCTGGCCCCGGGGACTCAATCGGATCCGTTTACGACCCCCTCAGCGCCACACACAAAGTTGGAGGCGCCGGGGGAGGCTCAAACGCCTTGAGCAAACAGAGCCCAAAACCTTCCGGGGGCTGCCGGCCTTTCCAACCACCCCCGGCTCCATTGGCACCCTCAACACCGTGTAAACATCCCCCTGTCCCTCCCCAAAAATATGGATATATATATTTATATCTATCTATATTGATATATTAATAAAATAACTCTCTAGCCAACCCCCCCCTCCCAAGGATATTTTCGATACCACCCACGCTCCAGACAGAGAGGAAAAGGCTCTGCCACCCTGCAAAGGGCTGAGAAGAAGAGTGAGGAGGAAAATAAATAAATATATATATAAATATATACATATAAACAGCCCTTCTAAGGAAAGGAGGAGGGGGGAAGGCCTGGCCTAACCCGGGCGTTACATAAACGGGGCCGGACTGGCCAGGGGTCCAGCTCACACTCTCCCACCCGGCTTCACAGCTGGCCAGGCCCCACAGGCCCCCCTCCCTTAAAAATATATATATATTTAAATCCCTAAAGGCCTCACCAGAAGCTTCGTGAACAGCAGGCCAAAATGGGGCAGTAAATAATAATAATAAAGGCCACAAAAGCCCTTTCTTTGGGCTGTGGCAGCAGCCCCCCCCGCCGCCCCCCAAGACAGGGGGAGAAAAGGGGGG